CCTTTTCGGTGGTCCAATTAATATGAGCCTTCAGAAATTTGTAAGCTATGCGCAGTGAGAATCTGCGCATAAATTTTTTTACCTTTTGGTAGGTACAGGAGACGCTGGAGACCAAGTTTACCGTGTGGTTTGGAAGGAAATGATGCAAAAAAGGCTCGCCGTGAATTCAGGAGGTATTTTCCAGTGCGCAGGAAGTTGCTCATATGGCTGCCACGGAAGGTGACCGCGCAGAAGGGCAAGGAGAGTGTACGCAAAAGACTCTGGGTCATTACGGCGAGATGATCAGTTGGGAGAGTCTGGAAGCTTGGATAGCCAAGTACAGACGAAAGCCTTCATGAGAGTTGAGACCAGCCCATACTAAGGTTCCCACATACCCGCCATCGTCACTTCTTTTGCTTTCGAATGAATCAATGCGCCGTGCCATTCCAAAATCAACGATTTTCAGCTGGTCAGGGTTATCTAGAGAGAGTAGAACATTGCTAGGCTTGATGTCTCGGTGTACAATTCCAAGTTTGTGGATGTACGAGAGCGACGATAACCAGTAAAAAACGTTCAAAGAGAAAGGGATGAACTTAGTCAAAGCTCGTACCACTTGAGCAGCGACCTTGAAAACAGTACCGAGGGAAAAGCAGTTATTGTAGTCCCAAAGTTCTCCTAGACTGGGTCCTAGCAGCTCCAATGCGAGAAATTTGAAGTGATCTTGCCGGCCGTACGCATAAAACTCGGGGATTGCTGAATGACTTGACAAGTAGCGTGAAATGCAGGCTTCAATACCTCTTTAACTGGAAAAAAGCTCGTGATTATTTCAACGCAATAACTTTTGCCCTTTCAATGTCGGTGGTTTGTTGCTCGCCAAACATATCCCTGCAACTTTCAATGCAGAGCCTATGATCGAGGTTCTTCGTCTTCGACTTGAGCCTCCCTACTAGGTAGTTTCAGTTTTCATCGCGCCAATAACGTATATTATCAAACTTTGACAGTGTATGCAGACGTTCTCACAACTCAATTGGCGTTTCTCTCCTCACCTGAAGTATTTTTGTAACCGAGTCGCGATGCTACGAGGCGTGGTGTTACGCCACCGCTCGACCTCTGAAGAGTTTCCTCCAACTAGACATTGTTCTCTAGGCGAGAGACTCGACTGCATTCAACCTTGGGTCTTGCGAAAATATGCGGCTATGATCACTGGGCGTCTCAATTGTTTCCCAGTCAGTCGTCCTATTATCCGTCCATGATTGGTGACCACTAAGATGATGTACCTTACTAAGATGATGTTAACTAAGTATGTATGGTCTTCCCGTTCCGAATGGAATTGATTGTGGGTCACACGATTCAAACTTGACGTGACCTTGTTAGAAAGTCCAATCCGCTGTCTAGCGAATCAGATTTTGCGGATTTTGCGGATGAAACACAGCCAAGATGCCGTTCATTCATTCACCCGACGTGGACAGAACAAGGATCTGTATTGTTTATTTGCTAGTTCTTTGCTACTGATGTTGTCTAGATTGAGTCTTTCTACGACGATGTTGGAAACACATATCCCGAATAGATGCATAATGATACAGAGAGATGATGATTAGATGACAGAGACTTCACGAGCCTCGGCCCACTCTCCGAACAGAAGGCTGATACTCTCGCCGTTGTGCGTCCTGCGTATGCTTTCCGCGATGGTGGGACTAATATCAATCGTGACCAGCTTATTGCAGTTGTTGGCATGCACACTTTGTGGAATTGTGTTGGTGACCTGGTAGTTTTGATACGTGAAACGGGAGAACTTTCTGATCATTAAGAGATGAACATACCACAAGCTCGTCTATTGGCAAGGCCTGGATTACTGACATGTTTGTCTCAGAGAATAGACCTGAGTCGAGTGAGAGGTGCTGAGTGACGTAGAGGGCTAGAGAAAGGTAACGTTACCATGAGAGATCAACACATGCACGGATTTTGCGCCCTTTTCATTCAGTGTTCGAGCCGCGAGCGTCAATGTGTTGCCAGTATCAACCATATCGTCGACGAGGATCGCAACCTAGACAAACGCGGATCAATAGCGCACCAAGACAGCCGCAATAAAACCGACCTTGTCCTCAACATCACCAACGAGCAGGTCCATTCTCTCCGACTGAGACTTGCCATCGCGCGCACGGTGAATGAGCGCAAACTCGACATTAAGTTTGTCAGCAATAGCCGTTACCCTATTCAAGGATCAGGAAACCCACAAACTGAAACACGTGAAAGAGGAAATCACCGCTTGGCACCTCCGGCATCCGGGCTGACAATGATACATTCGCTCCAATTGGGAATATTGCGCTTGATATACGAAATCATGAGTGGCTCAGAGAACAAGTTGTCGACTGGGATGTCAAAGAATCCTTGGATCTGACTTGCGTGCAGATCCATAGTAATGAGGTGATCGCACCCTGCAACAGTGAGCATATTCGCAACAAGCTTCGCAGTAATCGGTGCGCGGGACTTGTCCTTCTTATCCATGCGTGCGTAGGGGAAGCACGGTATGACGGCCGTAATTCTGCGCGCTGATGCAGTCTTGCACGCCGAAATGAGGATAAGCAGCTCCATGAAGTGGTCGTTGACGTCGCTGCATCCGGACTGGATGATGAATACGTCCTCGTCCCGCACTGACTCGGAGATCTTTACGTTAATCTCGCCGTTGGAGAAATTTTTCACGGTGACGGGAACGAGGGGCACGTTGAGCCTGAATGTGTGAAGAGTCACTTGTCCGTGGACTGTTCATTTAGCTGCAGCTCATGGAGAGGCAGCTCACCGCTCGGCCACGGCTTGGGCGAGCTCGGGGTGGCTATTCCCTGTGGAGAGAGATGTTTAGGAGAATTAGGCCGAAGATAGCAACGACACACTAACCCGCAAGAATCCGGATAGAGTTGTTGTGATACATGGTTGAGGGTCGTTCGCTAGTTCTACTGCATGAACAAAGGAAAGAAGAGAATAAAAAAGTGAGTGGGGGATGGTGGTCGAGAAAAATTATCCAGAGATCAAGTTCATTTGTTTGGCCTAAATATTTTCACAGCGTTTGCAAACTTTGATCTGAGATAATTCAGTCTTATTGGCTTATCACACGACACATCCATGGGAAGAATAAATAAACTCGAGACGTAGGGCATCAAGGAGGTACTCTAATCGAGATATTTTCCACCACATACTCTGAGTCGGCATAACCCAAGACTTGTGGCAGATGCGAACTGATGCAAGAATTCTCAGTGACAGACAGATCATGAGAAAATGAGACGGCCAACCTGTTGAGTCCTTTTACCCGAAGAATCTGCGCTGAATTATAATTAGCCAGACCTCGTCCAACCTCGACCACATCATCCATGGTCAGAACTGAATCCTCCTCGACCGACGATATCTTTAGAGCATCAGCAAGCCCGGCAGCACTCGATGAACGCGACAATGCATGCGGGGTTGTGGGACGGGTGCCCTCCAATCCCTTGGTGTAAGCTGCTTCCATGTCGGCCGCCTCTGAAGGGGTTCCATCGGGGCGACGTCGAATCACGATCCGAACAGCCTGACCAGAAGCAAAAGCACCAATGATTCCGGTGACGCCAGCAGCGAGCAAACGTCCTCCTGATTCACGCCGTGAAAGAACATGGTGGGCGCCGGCGTCAATGATGACACTACCTGAAGGGAAAAGGGTGTGTGTAGTCCAGGATTTGAGATCGCGCATGGGGAAAGGAGAGGCGGTGAAAACGGTGTGTGGTGGGCGTATCAGAGGAGTGGGTGATGAGCTGCGACTGGGGTTTGCACTGTCCGGTCGCGAGCTCGGTTTCGAGTGAGACGACAGATCATCTTGTGGTGTTTTCGGTGAGCCGCGGTCGTAGTAGTGAATGATGTTGGAGATGTTTTCGGGTTTCCTGCTCGATAGGATAACAGTGGAGACTCCTGCTGCAGTTGCGATCTCGGCTGCGATGATTTTCGTCTCCATTCCACCTGTGCCAAGGCTGGATCCGAGTGTCGTGGTACTCACTGAAACGATGCATGAAAGCTCGGCAGGGTTGATCAGAAGGAGACTTACCTTGTGACCGTATGGCTGATATGGAATCCACAACTTCTAGCAATTTTGCGTCTGGGTCTTTGCGAGGGTTCGAGGTATATAGTCCATCAACGTCCGTCAGAAGGAACAGATAATCGGCATGGATCATGGACGACGTTATTGCTGACAGAGTGTCATTGTCACCAAATTTGATTTCCTGGAATGCAAATGAGTAGTTGTTGCTGGATAATGCAAGGATCAACTTACGCTAACTGACACGGTGTCGTTTTCGTTCACAATGGGAACAACACCCATGGAAAGAAGTTCCTTGAACGTGTTGACTGCGTTTAGATATCGTGTTCGCTGCCGTCGCATATGTTAGAGGAATCAAGAAAGCACCACACGGCCTCGACACACATCCGAAATGTCACCACGGGTCAGCAGCACTTGCGCGATTGGCTGCCCCAACTGACCAAAGAGGTTGTCCCATAATGCAATTAATCGACCCTGCCCAATGGCAGCCAAAGCCTGAAATGAATCAGGGATCAGTTGCAGTGATGATCGGTAACACAGGTTCGATGAAACGTACTTGTTTCCCAGAGAGATTCTTGGGTCTCGAAGGCAGCTCCATACGTTTGAGACCGACGGCGATAGCACCGGAGCTGACAAGAACAACTTTGTGTCCTTGAGATCGAAGGTTTACAACGGTTTCTACGACGGATGAGAGCGTTGAAAGTAGAGGTTGATGAGTGGTTTCATGAACGATAGAGGACGAGCCTGGGTGACATTGATAAGTATGGTCAATATAATGAAGGAAATTTGCGGATAGAACACACCAAGCTTGATCACAATGGTGCATGGAGGTCCATGTCGACGAGAAGACATTGCGTGAAACTAGGATATCGTGCGGCGGCAAGAGCGAGGGATGTCCGATCATTGCCGTCGGAGTCCGGATAATCGTCGGATTTCGGAAAGAATTTCGAGACAGCAAAAATTTCAATGCCACGTACCCGGATTGAACGAGTGACCTTCGCATTGCTTCCTGGCGCAATTGTACCTGGTTGCTTATGAAAGCATACAAGTGCGACGCGCTACCACTACGCCAACGCGGCCGATGTAAGATTATAGGGGTGAGGAAACAGGAACTGGAACGAAAGGGAGGGTTAAGAGAGCGGCAAGTGAGCAGATAGCAGTACCAATGCACACCTGCGCACAACAATGCGCTGTAAAGCAGCTACTGTGTGCAGGGGGCGAGGTCTGGCGCCTAGGTCGACAGCGGCAGCAAGGAGGACGAGCTGTGACGTGACGTGATGTTCGCTTGTGATGATAAGGTTTGACAGCCTGGCGTAGTTGGAACTCCACCGGTCATCCCTGGCAGGACGGTATGTGCTTCTTGATGGCACTTTAGGGGGGTTATTTGTATGTGGAACTCGTTGTCCGACGCTAAGTCGTGCTACGACTACGCCAACGCGGCCGTTGCAAAGGTATAAGAAGGGGGAAACAGTAATTAGAACGAAGGAGAGGGTTTGAAGATCGGAAGATCGTGCGGCGCAAGTCCTAAACTAGAAAAGTGGCAAGACGCGTTTTTTTGACAAAAGGTCTCAGATACAGAGATTGGAAATATTCTGCCCGACCTGCCGAAAAGTATGCTGTACCAAGATTACGGTCGACAGGTGATCGACGGAACAGGATGATTGAAACCGAGACAAAATGGAACTGGGAAAGCTTTATGTATCCGACCTGCCTGGATCGAACAGGCGACATCAAGATGGAAAGTATCCATTACAGTCTTGCGCTCTACCAACTGAGCTAAGGTCGGTTGACCACTTTTGTTTGTATCAATAATAGTTCAGCTTGTTCGACATGGTCAAATTAATGGAGGGCTCAATAAATGTACAATGAAAAGAGGCTATTCGTCCCTGACGTTATCCCACTTGGGTCTCCTCCTAGGGATTTGTTCATGTGGCTCATGCGACGTAAGGTGCGGCTCATTGAGTGATTAAAAAGCTTCAGTTCTACCATGGTTGACTTACCGTCCATTTCGCTGGGTAATCTGCCGTTATCTGCCAAACCCATGTTTTCTGCCGGTCATCCTGCCACACATGTTATCTGTCTGTCATCTGCCTTATACTCTGATACGAAAACACGCGCGCGCACACACATCTTTATTTCTATTCTATTATGCGCTAATCCCAAATAACCTATCTATCTATTGCACCTACTCGCATTAATATATACTATTCAACATTATCTATGAACTCCGAATTTGAGTAGCCGCCAGCATGTCCCTGAGAGCGTGGGCTCAAGATCCTCCGGAAAGGGCATTCTTGCAGCAAAGCATGAATACCAAGGCTCAAACGAAAAACCAGAAAATTCTATCAATTCTTTCTTATTTATTTTCTGTTCTTTCTTTTCCCCCATTGAATTCCAAGCAAAATGGACGATAAACTACCATGTTTAACATTGACAAAAACATATTACCGATCCGACCTGCCTGGATCGAACAGGCGGCATCAAGATAGAAATTATCCATTACAGTCTTGCGCTCTACCAACTGAGCTAAGGTCGGTTTATGTTCTTTCTTTTCATAAACCACTAGTGGTGCCCAAGAGGTGCAGTCCATGGTGAATTCCAACGATAATGAAACGATATACATGTGATAGGTCCAATTCGGTTACCGAGTACAAGAAAGCTCATGCGGGTTGAGGGGATGCCCTCGCAGCTTCCTTCTCATGCTCGAGGAGACGCTCAATATTGACTCCGAGCTTCCGGCGCTCCTCGAGCGAGAATTGCGGTTTTGACGAGTATCCCAAGTCTACATCGAATGATGCTTTAGGCATTGTTCCTAGTTCAATCAATTACAGACTTACGGAGGCTGGGATATTGGAGAGGAATCTCGTCGCTCCTGAGAGGCAAAGTTGAAAGATCGAGGGGCAAAGATGGGCCAATCCAGGCATTGCGGAATTCGTGATCACTGTTGGCGAATGTCAGAGCAACGACCGAGCCTAATACTAGTCACCGCATACGTTCTCTTCAAACGGTCTGTCAGCATCTTACGGGAACAAAAATTCAATTTCTTACCTGATCGCGAGTCAAGGGATGTACGAGGATGCTATGAAATCCGTTTCGAGTCGATGTCTCGTTGATAATAAAGAAAACACACCTGAGATCGCCATGATGCTGACAGAGGTACGAAAACACCGACGCGAACGTTTCGGATGGAACCCAGATTTCGTATGAGCCTGTAATATCACTTTCAATTATCCTTTCATATACTTCCTAGAACACACACCTATCGGATGCGGCCCCATGGGCTCAGTATTGACACGAAAGAGTGGCACGGCAACAAAGGCGCCATCACGGCGTAATCGCAGAACGGCATTCCTTAGCTCGAGTGCAGCAAGATGAGAGACAGTATTTTTCTGGTGAAAGTATATATCTAAAGACAACAACATCCTGAGTCAGCAGGGTATGGGACGGATGGCGGACAATCGCACGAAAGTGCCATTCTCTACAAATCGGAGGGAGTCACAACCTAAGAAATAGCTTCATCGTTGCTGACTTACTTGATTTCATCCCTTAGGACCTCTTCTATGTCAGTTGGAGGAGTCATGTTGTAACAATGATGTAGGGATTGTGTGTAACTAGAAGCTTGAGAACTTGGGCTGCGGACTCAGGGATACTCTGACCCTAACCCTAATTGCGGGTTCAAATATCCAGTTCCACGTTGGTTTTGCCGTTTTGCCACTGTCCCATTCTCAACTTCTCATGTCTGAACTTCGACCGTTAAAAGTTGCGTTTATTCATCCAGACCTTGGAATTGGTGCTTAGCCCATAATATTCTGTCAGACACTGTGTGCTCAAACATAGCGATGCCAAATAGGTGGTGCGGAACGTCTAGTCGTCGATGCCGCCCTTGGTCTCCAGGAACGCGGTCATTCAGTAGATATCTATACGTCTCATCATGACCCTAATCACTGTTTCGAAGAAACAAAAGATGGTAAGTACAACTTCTGCGTGGACTTTGACGAAGAACTTAGTATTTTTTCGACAGGAACGCTTCGAGTTCATCACGTCATCTCACCGTTTCCTCGTTCGTTGAGGAGCAAATTTCATATTCTCTTTGCCCATGCGCGACAACTACACCTTATGACACGCCTTCTGTCTCCGTTTGCCCCAGAGTATGACGTGTACTTTGTTGACCAGCTATCAACATGTATACCCCTCCTTCAACATGTTGGGAATACGCGGGTCGTGTTTTATTGTCACTTCCCTGACAAATTGCTGGCAAATGGCGCTTTTGTAGAAGGAGAGAACAGAGAACAAATCAGCTTGTTGAAACGGATTTATCGATTTCCCATGGACTGGCTAGAAGAAACGACGACACGTATGCATGACCCACCTGCGAGTTCTCCATCCATCTCACTTTTTACAGGACAGGCAGATGTTATAATTGCAAATTCCAAGTTTACCGCTCGTGTGACAAAGTCGTATTTCAAGTCAATCACACAATCTCTTCGAGTTGTGTACCCAGGGATTAATGTTTTGGCATACGAATCCACCGTAGATCACAATGACCCTGATAACGTTGCAATTTTCTCGTGAGTCGTTTCGTGAAAGGGTTGACGATGATTTTCATTTGGTCCAGTGTCAAGCCAACGCTTGTCTCCCTCAATCGTTTTGAAAGGAAGAAGAATGCCGCTCTTGCTGTCAGGGCCTTTGCAAGTTTGAAGTCTAAGCTTGCACTTAAAGCATTTCGACTTGTCCTTGCAGGTGAAATGATATCGATTCAATCATGACCCTCCAGGCCGCTGATAGACTCGCTAGGCGGCTATGATCCTCGTCTTGACGACAACTTACTAACGCTCGATTCACTACTTCACCTTACCAAGTCTCTTTCCCTAACATATAACGTTATCACACCGCCTTCGAGCCAAAAACCCATCAAGATACCCCCAGGAAACATGACGCCCAATGATCCCGACGTACTATTTCTCTTGAACTTCACAACCTCCCAACGCACCGCCCTACTCTCCAGCCCGTCGACAGTGGCACTTCTTTATACACCTGCTAACGAACATTTCGGTATTGGCCCCGTTGAAGCCATGGTATGTGGTGTCCCAGTGTTGGCATGCAACAGCGGCGGACCCACAGAGAGTGTCCTCGATGGACCGCCAGAAGAGAGAACAGGATGGTTGAGGCCACCTGACACGGAAGTTTGGGCTGAGGCTCTCGTTGAAATCGTGTCAATGAGTCTTTCTGAAAGGCAAGCATTGTCAGATCGGGCAAAGGCGCGCGCACGAGACTTGTTTAGTATGGATGCTATGGCGAGTGGGATTGAGGATGCACTGGTTGAAGCAGTTAGAATGGGTGATGTGCCGCATATGATGTGGAACATGTGGATGATGATTTTTGGTTTCGTCATAGCGTATATCCTCGGACCGCTTGTCCTTCCATCTCAAAAGAGGTGATTTTGTACTTTCGGGAAGATGGATATATCTGAGGACGCTTGTCTTTGGTTAGAGCTACATTGCCCATTCAGCAGACAATTTCTATGTTTGTCTTGCAAATGTGGCCTTCTACGAATCAGATCCTTTGCATACTTCTTGTAAGGCACTGGATTTGAAAATCATAAGTAACTTAGGTGGGAATATGAAATGTGAAAAGAGCGGTGATTACTGTGGCTGCCTATTACGCGTCAGAACCACGGATGAAAAGACACCCTTGGAATGAAACACGTGATCACAAAATTTCGACCCATCCCTTGTTTTGGTCAAGCCACTCTGTAACAATGGCCCGACATGCACGCAAAAAGCAGAAGGTATCTCAGGAGACTTCTAAATCTCAGCCACTTGGAACGACGGATCCCTTGACAGACGACGCTTTGAAGGACGATGAGGAGAGACGGCTCGAGAGTATGCTCTTTGGGACAAAGTTCGTTCCTAGGGATAAGGACACTGTTGAAGATGATAAAAACCCGCCTCAATATGCTGGAAATGTTCTCAATAATCTTTTGGATTCAGATGTACGTCGAGGTGCTGTTTATGAGTTGGGATAGCTAAATCGAAGTTTTTCTTCTGTATGTAGCTTTTTTTCGTCGATGATGGTGCTG